GAACTATACGTGAAATACAAACTTTTCATTGATGAAGAAACGTAGTACATATGGTGGGGTAGGCAGCCTGATTACATACCCAAAAAAAAAAAAATATTAACTAAACCAAGGGGGAGAGATCAGCGAAATAGCCCCCGGCGCCCTCCGCGACAACCTCCAGATCAACCGTGGAGGAGATTTCTCTAGCGTCGGACTCAACTTGGTCGGCCCTCTTTGGGCGGCCTTCTTCCTCGGCATCCTCCTTGGCGACATGCCCGGCCTCTTTCTTGGCCTCTTCCTACAGCACATTGAAGACTTCATTCGCGTATGGCACCATGTAGGCCAGCAGGAAGACAACGGGGGAAGAGGTAAACACCTCGGTTCTAGATCCTTGGTCGAGTTGTTCACAAGCATCCTTCCAACCAGACTTAAAGAATATGTACTTGGTGGCCTCGACCTGCTTGGTATAGCTGTCTTCGGCCTCCTTGAAATCGAGATTGTTTGCCGCGTCCACTTCATCTTTCCTCGATTGCTTTAATGCTTCCAGCTCGGTCCAGAGAGCGTATCTTTCCTTCTCGACGAATCCAAGTTGGCCGAGCAATTTGGTGTTGTCCGTGTTGGCCATCTCCAACGAAGCCTTAGACCTCCCCGGCTCGGCTTCCAGATGCTTGACCTGATTGGTGGCATCAGTTACCTTTTGCCGGAGTTTATAAATCTAGTCCATCACAAGATATTGTTTCTGGATGGCCTGTAAAAGGACATGTTAGGGTTCAAATAAAAAGATTAACCGTGCAAACACTTGAACAAATTTAAGTAAGCGTGTGAAGCTCTTACCCTGGTCATAGATTTAATCGAGGACTTCATGAGCCAAGTGTCAGGCACGTGGTCACTGTCGGTTACGTCGCTCGGTAGAAGCAATGCTTTTGTCAGATCAAAAGCCAGGAGGTGTTCTTTATCGCCCTTGACTGAGGCGTTGGCCGGGATCTCCTTGCCTCGGTGTTTCAACTGTGGCTGCCATGAGGGCATTGGCTGAGATTCCTCTGCCGGTTGCTCGGTGCTCAAGTCAGCCACAAGCTTGGCTGTTGGATCGGCGGACCGAGGCCTTTTTCTGGCTTACCGATTTTCTTTGCTGGCTTGCGCCGTAATGGTCGACGCCAGTGCAATCACGGTCCCAGATGTTTGACCGGCAGTAGAGGCGCAGGGGGGTATGCTCGGCAACTCGATTGATGTGGCGGTGATGAGATTCTTGATACGACTCCGTTTGGCGATTTCCTCTTCATCGGTTAGCCGAATTAGGGGCACGTCCGGTAGTGTTGGATCAGGCAGTGGGGATGGTGCTCGTAGAAAGTTTGTGACTCTACTTCTGCGGGGAGCCGAGTATCGATAGCTCAGTATGTAACCGAGAAGGTCGTGGCAATCTTGGTGACGATACCGCAGCACGGCTCTGATGGCAGCCTCGTTTGGGTTGAAGTAATTCGCTTGCAAGGCTTCGATAGCTGCAAGGAAAAGAGCAATTAGTACAAAATAGTAAAGGAAAGTAATTTGACCGGTTAGTGAGCACGGCTTACATGTCAACCCGAAGTTCTTGCTGATGTACCAGCCGGGCACATCAACCGTCTCATAATTCCCAGATACTCAAAAAAAGTCGTCATCATGCAAATCTTTATCCGGGGTGCCGATTACCAGTTTTTCCTTGCCTGGTCTAATCTTCAAATAATAGCTAAACTTGTCGGGTGTGTGCCCGAGGGTGTATTGGCTCAAAATCTCAACCAATCCTAGGTTCAGGCCAAGCCAATTGTTCAGCTCGGTTGCCCCATTTATTATTCTGAATGTATTTGTCGAAACTTGTGTTGGCGCTAGCCTAGTACGCCTTAGGAACTCACACATTAGAGGCTGAATCGGGAAATATAAGCCTCATTCGACTATGGACAGCACGATAAAGGGGCATTGGTCCAGTTTGCCCCATGGGGTGGTGTCCTCTACACCGAGCTCAAGATGGACGTCTGTGGGGACGCCATATTCCTCCCGAAACACGGCTAGTGCGCCCGGCGTGTCAACTAGGAAGCGGTAACGCCCCATGTAAAGCCGACTGGTTTCAGCTCGGCTATGTTGGTTTGGTAGAGTTTCGTGCGATGGCTGCTCAGCCTTTAAGAGCCCTGGTGTTGCTGTCTGGTCTCCTAGGACTCTGCAGTAAAAGGCAAGTATAAGTGATAGCGCGGTCGCGCAAACGAGCTCGACTTTAGCCCAAACACTGGATGTGCGACATTACTCGGTAGCTCGGTCGCTCAAGCAAACAAGATATTAGCCCGGTCGAGCAGCCTCACGTTCTTTTAGCTCGGTTCCCACCCAAGTCTCACAAACTTGCAACTTACTCGATTTTGGTATTTTTTGGGATCAAATGAAGACCTGGAGCCTGGTTTGTCCCAGTTCCTCGCGTGTTCATCACAGAAGATGATGAACAATTGAGGGAAAAGGGACATAGGTGGTTTTTTGGGGCTACATCCTAAGTTAACTTCATTCAAAGTCTTAAAACTTACTGCCATCGTGCCCTAAACTCAACTATGACAATCACAGGCCTAGCTATGTAATGAAAACATGAGTAACAAATGAAGAGCAATGGAGGGTTGAGGACTTACAGGCTAGGGCACGGATGGTGGCTTGAAGCGGTGGGACGGGGCCTCTAACGACGGCGAAGACGTAGAATAGGCTCGCGAGTACGCTCTGATCTCAATAGTATTGGTGAGGGCGAGAGCTCTGGTTCGCAAGGTGGCTTTGATGATGAAGATGAACAGAGCAGGAAGAAAAATAGAAAGAATAGTAACGGGTATAAGAAGGGAAGAGAAGCGCCAAAATTTGAATGAGGCGGCTGGATTGGGTGCTGAAGGCCAATGAATGGACGACACGTGTCTGTAATGACAGCGACGTCAGTACTGAAAAGACAAGTTGGAAAGTCGAGGCGCCGACCGAGTAAGTCAAGGGACCGGGCGTGGGACTTAGCGCGGTGAATGTCTTGCGGTATGAGGCCACCGAGCAAGTTAAGAGACCGGGCGTGGGGCTTAGCGCGATGAACATCTTGCGGTGTAAGGCTGGGCTGAGGAATGACCCCGGCCGGAGTATGTAATCCTAGTCACGCTAGCGCGGACGAAATTAAGGGGCAATTGAGAGGGAGATTTCATAATCCAGCTTTGGGCCGTAGTAATGATTGGGCTAAAGTTGGTCCGAGCATGTTTGGGCCGAGTTGGGTTAGGCCAATCCAGTGGCAGTGCGCTCGGTTAAGGCCCATCTTAGATTTGGCAGGGATAAGTTCTCTGCCAGCCCGGTTCATGTTGTTTGGTCGTTGCGATCGGCGTATAGGATCCTCCGCAGACCGACCCAACCGAGCAAAAGCTCGATCATGACGAAAAGCTGCTAAGCTCGGTCATAACAGAGCTGGGCTCGAAGCGTTGCTTGTCTCAGAGGTAGTATGGTCGCGGGGAGATAGGGCAGTGCCACCGGGTTGTTCGTTCGCGCCAACACCGTTTGGCAGTTTGGTTAGGTGGTGTTTAGCTGTATTTGCGCTGACACGTGGGAAAGTAGGATAGGAAAAGTAGATCCACACGTCAGAGGGCGAATGGACGCAGAGGTAAGTGCAGAAAGTATATAAACGTGACTGCGCCCCCCATGTTGGAGATGAAACATCTTCTGGTGAGAGAAACTCTAACACATTGTCTTCTCTCTCCTCTCTCTCTCTGAGTGTGTGCTGACTTGACCATCGGAAGGGTTTTCCGGCAACGCACCGCCGGATAGCTTACCTTCGTTGTGTTTGCAGGTCGATCGGAGGAAGGCGCAGCTTGGACGCGAGGAGTACGGGTGATGACGGATATTTGGCTCCCGTACACTTACCACCATACACTACATTTACTTGGCCTGTTATAATAAATTCACTCACTATTTTAACAACAAAAAAAGTAGAATTATATAAGTAGATAGCATTAAAAATTAAACTATTTCAATTGAGGCATTTTACCGAACATGGTATATGCATGAAGACACACACAAAATATAGAGGGGTAAAGAGACAGATTTTAATTGAGGCAATATACATGAGAAACAAATCACATAATATAAATGAGAAACACAATCAAACCCAAATGAGAAACAAATCACATAAAAATTTAGACATCCAACGAAAACCCAAATAAAAAATTTGAGGCATTTTGGAGACCCATTTTAAAAAAATATTTTAGAGGCCTATGGGAGGCATTTTACAGAACATAGTGAATGCATACAAAGAGATATGCATAAAACAAAAAAGCCGAAAAACAAAAATCAACAAAAAAAAATTGAAGAGCATACTGATCTCTTTCTCGCTGGTTGCATCGACCAATCTACCTTGCATTTGATCAAACAGTGCATTCGAATCTCAACCAAGTTGCCATAGGTAAAACCAAGAAGGGAGAGTGGGTAAGAGAGAGAGAGAGAGAGAGAGAGAGAGAGAGACTGAAACAGAACCAGAGAGAAGGAGATTAAAATTTGAAATGAGGATAAGAGAGAGAGAGAGAGAGGAAGAGGAGGAGGAGGACGTCTGTGAGAGAGATAGGAAGGTGTGTTTGGTACTCAAAGAGGCAGACAATGTTATGTATTTGGCCTTAGATTTTGATTAGGATTGATTTGAACCGTTGGTTATAAATGTATCTCTAAGACAATTTCTTGTCACGTAGGACAAATTCAAAAACCTTCTTTCCATATTATATAGATAAATATGTTTATTATATTTTATTACATTTTATTTAATTTTAAATTTAACAATTGTAAAAAAAAAAATTGTTATAAATTGGTTTATATTTTGTCACTTATATTTTTCATATGGTTGGATTAACAGAGGCACAAATTGAGACACATTTACTTCATAGGTAGGCTACCTTGGGGCTTGCACTTGGTTGAGTTGAAACGGGCTTAAATCCTGAATATGGATTGAAAGTATCCACGTGGGCCCAAGCCCGTCTTTACTCGTGTTTCGCCCTAAAAAAAACTATTTCACTGCGACGATGCCATTTTTTAGCGTGCTCGGCCATCTTGGAAACAGTGTCACCCCCTGCTACGAATAGGGCTTGCTCTCCTCTCTCTTCTTCTGGAGGCCTCCGCCGCCGCCGCCGCCTCCTCCTCCTCCTGCTTCTCCTCCGTCGCCGTATTATACTGTACGTTCTCAAGCTTGCGAACGTAAATAATTTCTCAAACCAGACTTTTGTTTTGTTAGAGCAAAATAACTGATTTTAGTTGAAGTTTTAGCATTCTTAATGGGAATACATATATGTTGAATCTATTGATGTGTGTATGCAAGTGTATATATTCATTTGTGTTGGACCTGTTGGTGGATTTTCGTTCTATTTATTCTTGATTAGAGATATTGTGATGCAATTAGAATAGAAAGATGATTTTGTTCTGTTGATTTTGTTCATAAAAGTCTCAACTTTATGATATGATATAGCCTATTGTCAAGTTTCTTTAGAAAAATTGGCGCAAAAGCTTTACTTTGATCATTGCATAATATTGAAAGTTGGAATCTTTTGTTAAGATTTTGGATTTGTTAGGGGAACTACATTGCACAGTACTAAGGCACTGTGAGGATTTAATTCCCCTGATGCCCTAATATCAATGTGCACAAATAAACTATGGGATCCGCTTTGCAGCTTCAACTTCACATGTTTCTGCTGCCTGTAATGCCCTCACATTCAGTAGAGGCTCAAGATTTTTGGAGGTTCCATAGCAGTATCAAAATGAGGCCTTTTCTAAGTTGGGGCCTTCAGCAATAAGATTTTTTTTAAAAATTTTCATGTGGGCCCTTAAACGACAGCCTTAGTGGCTCTCTGCTCACATTAACAGGTTTGCTTCCATTGTGGAAATCAATTGAATTTGCAACAACAAAATGTGAAGATCGTTCATTCTTAGTTGGATTCATTTGTTATGCTTTCTGTCTTTATAACTAAAATAGTAGACTGTGGTTTATAGACAAATATTTTCTGTTTTTAACTTCAAGGTTCTGGTATTAGTCAAGAGCCCCGACACCTAGTTATAAAAAATGGGCTAATTTTGATTAAATTTTTTGGCTGCTTAAAGGTGAAGAGATAAATGTACATGTTGTCAATTTGTATGCATATATATATATATATATACACATTTATGTTGGTGTGTTTTCTTATGTTTTGTTTTGCTCTTTGCTTTCCATTTATTTGACTAATTAAACTGTTTATTTTATAGAGAGGTGACTGTTGCTTTCCTCTTCTTTTTTCTTTTGCTCCCCTAATATGGAAATTAGGATTGAAATAAGTTTTTATTTTGTTGGTGGATTTTCTTATGTACTGTGATATAGCTATGTCTAATTCATTTGTGAAAATATTGCAAAAGCTTTACTCTGATTATTTCATAATATTGAAGGTTGGAATCTTTTGTTAAAAGTTTGGCTTTGTTAGAGAGTAACTACATTGCACAAGTACTAAGGCGTTGTGAATATTGTATTTCCTTATGCCTAGTGTCAATGTGCACAAATAAACAGTGGGATCCACTTTGCAGCTTAAACTTCATATGTTTTTGCTGCCATTAATGCCCTCACATTGTTAACATGTTTCCTTAAATATTGAGATTCAGTTGATTTTCTAATAACAAAAAGTGAAGAGAGTTCATTATTTGTTGTAAAGAAACTTTGGTTTGATATAGGAATCACAATTACATTACTTTTGACTGTGACTGTGACTGTGACTGTGAATTGCATTGTTGTAAAACAAAGTTAAAAATGTATTTCCACTTCCCCAATCCAAGTTTTATTGATGCTGATTAGATAGTGATACCAGTGTAAGATTGCTAAACTCTTACCGAAGAAGTGAATTGGATCTGATTCTTCAATTTAGAGATATACTTCTCGTTTGTACTATTATTGCCTAATTTCTCGTTGCTTTGGAATATAGGTGCAAAAGCTTTACTTCAATCATTGTTTAATATTGAGGGTTGGAATCTTTTGTTAAGCCTTTAAAGAGTAACTACATTGCACAAGTACTGAGAGGCACTCTGAGTATTCAATTCCGTGATGCCTAATATCAATGTGCACAAATAAACTGTGGGATCCGCTTTGCTGCTTGAACTTCACATGTTTCTGCTGCCTGTAATGCCCTCACATTGTTAACAGTTTTCCTTCTATGGTGGAAAGCATTTGAATTCGCGATGAATTCTAAAAAAAAATAGTGATGATGGTTCATTCCTAGTGTTCATTGCTCTTTTAGTGGTGCATGTTGTTTATGCCATCCAGTGTTCATTGAGACAACTTGTTATACTTTCCTTTTGTCTTCATGAGAACTAAATAGAATACCGGAGTTTATATTTCAATATTTTATACAACTTCTGGTTTATATTTAATGAAATGATAATTGCACTAGTGCTGAAACCTCGTGACTTTTTGATTTTTGGTTGCCTAATCTCAATGTGCAGAAATTTACCAGCTGCCCAGTTGAAGAAATGTAGTTGTGCTGTCTGTAATGCTCCAAGATCGCTTGATTTGTTGCAGTTGTTAACGGAAGGATAGTATTTTTTAGTTTTATTTTTTTCGGCAAAGGAGGTTGGCAAGCTGATTTATCCTTTACTATTTGGGGATGTCGAATACAAAATGTAAAATCTATTTTAGGGCAAAGGAGAATATTTTTCTTCTTATTTTTTCTCCTCTTTTCGTAGCATCAATCATGACAGAGAGACAAAAAACAGCTTGATGATGCGAACCTCATGTATCCCATTGTTCGTGTGAATATGAACATACGTTCCTCTAACTACTTTTTTTTTTCTCTTTAAATAATATTTGTGAGTACTTTGCAAGGTACTTAGTGGAGAAATTTTTGTATGTTAATAGTGTATCACGTGGCACTACCTTCTACTAATCATAAATGTATATGCCCACTATTGTTCTCCAAACACTCAACATAAATATAGTGGATCCTACTGTGAAAGCTTGCCACATGGTTTATATCCTATCTGAGATAGGCTATCTCCATACAAAAATTTCTCTGCTAATTGGGTTGAGTTTGCATTGAACTTTTTTAAACCTCACATTATGCACACCCTTCACATGGGTTGAGACTGAGAGATGATCCCCTAAAACAGGGCCTTGAGATCAGCATTCTGTATTTGTTAAAACTTTCGCATTTTTTCTTTGGGTAAAAACCATACAAAATTTGTTTATAGAATATTGTGACTTTGTGAAAGTTTTATTTGTATGACATTTTTCTTTGGGCAAATTACATATACACCCCTCGAGGTTTGGCTAAATTACAAATACCCCCTGAGGTTTGAGAAATTACGAATTCCCCCCTGAATGCTATATTTGCATAAGAAATTAGGGGGTAATTTGTTATGAAATATAAACCTCAGGGGGTAAATTGTTATGAAAATACAAACCTCAGGGGGTGGGATGTAATTTCCGAAACCTCAGGGGGGTATCTGTAATTTAACCAAACCTCGAGGGGTGTATATGTAATTTGCCCTTCTTCGTTCTCTGACTTTGTTTAAGGTTCTTGGGCCACTTCCCCCCAATAATTTGATTGTGGGTCGAGCTAGTTGACTATAGAACAATTGTGAGAAGCCCATCTGTGAGGTCCTTTATCTGTATTCTTTTTGGGCAAATTACCTATAAAAGTCTTTTTTTTTTGCAAAATGTGTATTCTATTTAATTTAAAAACTTTTTAGATAGATTCAAAAGTTCTATACTAATTTATTTTCTCATCTTTTTTTATATGTTGCTTCTTTTCTTTATTTCTCTCTCTCTAATATCGGCGACAATCACGATCATGCCTTCCTTTTTTTTTCTTTTTTTTTTCTTTCTCTTTTTAATCTATAATCATCGACAACTACTATTGATTGGGGTTCACTGACAATCACCAAGCACTAACTCTTTACTTCGCGCTCATCAACAATGAAAAAGATGAGTTTTGGATGAAGAAGATGAGTACTCAAATCTAATGCAGATCTGTTCAGATATAAGTGAGTAAATCTGGCTAGATCTAAACGAAAAAATAGTTGTTGAAGTACAAGCATCTCTCTATATCTGTCTCTTTCCTTCATCTCTTAGTTTTATTACTTTTTCTGTACTATACACTTCTATTTTCCTGTTATAATGGAGAAAATTTTCAATTTATGAACAAATCATTTTTGAGTTTTAGTTACAGACGGTGAAAGCTATAAAATTTTATAATTTCAGTTTTTTTTTTTTTTTTTTTTTTTTGCGTTGAAATGAATCATTCTTTAGAACTGTTAAATTTTACAGTTTCATAACATTTTTTTTAATTTAATTAATAAGGATAAATGCTTAATAGAATCAAAATTTGAAGATGCAACGTTTTACAGTTTTAAAGCTTACTCTTCAGTTTGATCAATATTTGAGATTATTTGTTTAAATCTTACAAATATTGAAAATAACATACTTTTTTTTTTTCTTATTATTATTGTTTGTTGTTCTTAGGTTTTTTTCTTCTTTCAATTTATCAATATTTAACACTTATGTTATGTTTTTTGGCTTTAATTTTTCAGTTTATTCTTGTTATTTTTTTGACAATATTTGGGATATTCCGATAAATCTCCAGTGATATTTTTGGCGTCCAACGAACATTGTAGAGATTCCAACGACTTTCGGTGACATTCAGAACATTCCAACGATACTTTGGCAAATTTCCATTGATATTTTTATGACTTCCCGGTGATGTTAAACATTCCGGCGAATCTCCGATGACTGTCTAACGGAAGTCCGATGATAAGATGTAACAACATCTTTAAAATATATATTTTTTTAAAAAAATAAGATTTTTTTGGTAATAAATAAAACTATATAGAATTAATTGGTACAAATATTTTGTTTTAGACTAGATGAGTTTTGGATTTTGTATATAGAATTTACCAATAAATTTCCCATTCTTTTTCAAGTGTATTGAGAAACAGGGCCATTGTGCGAAGTATGATTTAATTCTGTCAACACTGATCAAGTGTATACTAGTCTTTGGTCGGTTGTACCATTGACTTGGCATTGCGGATGCATAGGAGAATTTATCAAATGGAAGACCCATGTGAGACATTCATATTCATATTTATTAGTAGTATACATGGATATAAATGCTTGTGTGTCTTTACCTTGCTGCGCAACAGCTTTCTACACAGCCTGGCTTCATAACTCACCTCCATCTAATGGGAAAAATAATTATTATTCTTATTCACTAAAATATGGTATGTGAAAATAATTCATTGTTTTTCATATCATTTTTTCCATATAGATTATTGGGTAGGGTTGTTCAAAAATCTGTTCAAACTGGTAATCCGGACCAAACCAGACTTAATCTTACAGTTTGGTTCGATTCTATTAAGAATTGGTTCGGTTTTGGATTAAGAAATATGAAAACCGTAAAAACGGTTTAGTTAATGAATTTTATGAAAAAACCGCGGTTTGAACCGAACCGAACCGAACCGAACCGAATTTTTTTTAAAAAAAAATATATATATATATAATATCAAATTTTTTTTTGGTTAGTCTTCTATTAAGTAAAAGAGTTAGTCTTAATTTTTATTTTTTATTTTTTTTTGGTTAGTTTTCTACCATTAGATTAGCATCTTTTATGTCTACCCTTAGATCTACCTACAGGTTTCTGAACTCGGGCAATTCGGGCAATTCGGGCAACCCGAGTTCAAAATACAAAGCTTGGGCCGGGCTTGGGCAACAATGTTCGGGTTCATGGTCGGGCTTGGGCGGGCTTGGGCAGTGCCAAATACAATTCGGGTCGGGCTTGGGCAGACCCCCAACCCGACCGAACCCGCCCGAGTTGCACCCCTAGTAATGCCTTAATATTATTAATTTGGGCAAATTACAAACACCCCCCTCGAGGTTTGGTGAAAATACAGATTCCCCCCTGAGGTTTGAGAAATTACATCCCGCTCCCTGAGGTTTATATTTCCATAACAAATTACCCCCTGAGGTTTTTATTTTCATACAGATTCCCCCCTAATTTGTTATGCAAATTTGACCTCCAAGGGGTAATTTGTAATTTCTCAAACCTCAGGGGGGAATTTGTATTTTCACCATACCTCGAGGGGGTGTTTGTAATTTGCCCTATTAATTTTTATCATGAGTTAAATGTAATTAGTTTGAGTAATTATTTTGTTAATATTAATAATTTATCCTTTTAAATAGAAATTTTTAGAACCATGAACCAAACCGAAAACCGAACTATTTTTTCGATTTAGTTCTGGTCTGATTTTATAAGTATAATGGTCTGGTCCAATTTTCGAAATAACAGAACCGTTAGGATCAGTTCGGTTCTTGAATTTTCTCATAACCGAACTAATCCGGACCGTGTACCCCTATTATTGGGGGAGAGAGAGACAGTATATTTCTTGCCCCATGTGAATTGTGGTAAATGTGACAACTCACACACGTGCATTTGCATACTTCAATCTTTTGCCATAGTTGAAATTCATTAATTATTTGCACTTCCTTGGTTTCTCTGAGAAAAAAAGAAGAAAACAAACTACTAAATGAACCATGAACCAAGCCCTATTGGGTACATATTTGATTTTGGGGATGTGCAATGTTGTTTTGGTGATTTTGATTTCAGTGTTTTAATAAATGATCATCTATAAATAAGTCCTATATCTCTTATGAAATCTTTATTAATTGCTATTAAAATTACCGGTAATATTACATGCACCAATTAGTGTACTAACTGGTGTATTAGCACTAGTTATGACATTATTATTGACCCTACTCATTATATAAATTATAAATACCAAAAATCTCTTAAATAATGCCACATCATCTATTGATACATTAGTTAGTATACTAATTGGTGCATATAGTATTATTCTAAAATTATTGTAGTACAATTAATTAAAAGTGCAAAAAAAAAATTCAATAAAAAATTTATAGAAAATAAAACATTTAATGGTTTTTTTAAAATTAAATTTTTACTTCAAGATACTAGAAGTCAATAGATCAACTATCAAAGGATAAGATGGGGGGCCAATAATGTGTCACCACTTATTATTAGTTTATTTATTTATTTTTCAAGAAAAACAAAATGACTTATTATTATTATTATTATTATTATTATTATTATTTATGATTAGACAGTCTAGTTTGGGTCTTGCAGAGTCACTAGAGATTTATTTTGATAATTTAATTAATTTATTTTTAAATTTACGCGCGTAGATTATTTATGAAAAAATTAACTGGTTTGATAGTTATAGTTGCATGATTTTCTCTTATTTATTTATTTATTTAAATGGCTATCAATTTTCAAAATTATATTTGCTATTCATTCACTAGAAGATAAATGTGATAAATTTGTGTAATTAAAATTATCAAATCAATATATAAATATAAAAGCCTAAAAACTAAATACGTTGAATCATTTAAAGAGACTTGTGATGAACTTACAAAATCAAATTTGAATTAGAGTGTCTACGTTTTTGCTTTGAATTTTTATAGAGAGCCACTTCCATTAAGTAATTTGTGTAATTATGCCTAAATGATAGGATCATTTTCACTTCATCTTCACTTTCCGCCCAAAATCTAAAATCCCAAGGTCTAATATCCCAAGGTGTACAAGACGATCAAAATTATAACCTTAGTTTTAGAAGATAATATGGAATTTTCAGGCTTCAATTATTAGGGCATGCAATCACATTATTGAGTGACATGAAGGTGATATTCTTATTTTGTTCAACAGCTTTAATTGGCAAATCATTATTTTCAACTATGAGTACTATGGGCAAGACTTGTCACACCAAAGCAGATTTGGGGTGCCTGCTGTGCACCCAGCGCAACAAGCACTGTTGTGCAGTCTTATGGGCATATTTTAGGATCTATTTTAATAATCGTTTACATTTTAAAGTACATCGAGTAAAACATATTTGTAAAAAATTAAGTTAATCGGATATCGTTAACCCTTTCATCCATTTACATTTGTATTTTCAAAAATAAATGATATTGTTACTTAAAGCATTACAATGAATACAAATATGAGTTGATAAAAGGATTAACGATATCTGAATAACTTAATTTTTACAGATATATTTTACTCGTTGTACTTTGAAATATAAACGGTTCAAATTATTAAAACGGATTTCAAAATAAACCCATAAAATTGCACAATAATACCTACTATACTAGGTGCACAACAGACACACCAACTCCCATTGAGACATGATCTATGTTAATCGATGTCGTCCGCCTAGTAGTAGACGAGTAGACAGTCACTAATAAGTTCTTTCAAATCTCTAAGAACGATTTCATGAGTTAATAATTAATGATATTCATTGCGGTTCCCATATTCAAAGATGATATTAATTAATTGTCCCCATTTGCTTTCCATGACATGTGACATAAAACTGTATACTTTTTGTATCGGTCTAGGTTTGTCAAGGAATTCTGTTCGCCCCTTATACTTGTTTGGTATTCTTTTAATCTAACTGTTATTTATGGGAAAAATTATTCAATATTTTTAAAGTAACACGTGTTTGTGTTCGCTAATCAATCATTATAATATATCTCTCATGTTTTTCAATTAATTAACACAATACTCAACCTACATACCTTCTCTACTAATCATAATATATGAAATATCACGTGTCCACACTCAAGATTACTAAATAACTACCCTTTTTATGGTGCTTCCCTTTTTATTTATATTTTTTTCTTCAGTGTATTTTTTTTATAAAAAAAATTAGGGCTTTGCAACTAAAAGCCTCTATTTTTATTATATAAAAAAATAAAACTAAAAACAAAAAATGATTTTACTGAAAAAGACTAACAAATCAGTTTTTTTTTGTCTTTAATTGATTGTTTTCAAATTTTTATTTATTTATTTATTTGGTTAAAATCTTTAGGGACTTGTACTCATTAAACTATGTAAGGAAATACAATAAAATTGTCCCTAAAATTGAGAGATTTTGAAGGGTATTGTTGTCATTTACTAGAAAAATTGCCGTGGCAATATGGCTACCTACTTTTTATTGCTATTCATTTTTCTGTAAAGTTATGGTTTCCTTTTCTTTCAAATTTTCTTGACAACCAAGCATGAGCAAAATACTAGTATCTAATATCTATCTTCTAAACAAGAATGTGACATGAAGCCAACCGAAGAAAAGCATCATTAATGCATCTCTCACTACGACTTGGCTATATATATAAAGTTTTTAATATAAAAATAACAAGACATACAAAATATATATAGAGAGAAAGAGAGAATTATAATTTGTATTAAGACTTATTATTTTAAAATAAAATGTCTATTAAATATACATTTAATAAAATTATATTATTCTGAGAAAAAACTCTGTAAAAATAATATTTTTTAAATTTGTTTATATGAGTTCGGGCCTCCTAGATCAATATCAATATGTGGGGGAAAAATGTTAAGAAAGAAGAAAATGAAAGAAAGAATCCAAAAAGAATAAGAAAAATGGCACACAAACTTTTTTATATAAAAAAATCATCAAAAATGATATGATAGTTGTATTTGTTAAAGAGAAATGTTAACTAGTATTCCTCGTACATTAATATTAAAATTGAGATTAAAAGTGCTTTAAAGATAAATAAATTGTTTAAAAAGTTCTGAAGTTGGTGGAAATATTTTGATTTGAATTGCAATAACTACAAAAGCTAAAACACTACAAATAAATGAATTCTACTATACACTCACAAAAAAAAAATTACATTTCATTTGCATTTCACATTGCAAATGAATTTAACCCAATAGTGCTTTGCTCATGATTGAAACACTATCATTGTAATCAATACCACTTCAAAACATTACCAAACACAAAAAATAGAGCATAACCAATTTTGATTTGATAATTTACTAAACATTACAATAGCTGTGATAAAAACAAAAATAAAAATAATAAATATTACAAGGTTCCCTAAGCAAACATCTTTCAAAAATTCATAACAAATACTAATTTAAACTATATTTTACATAAGAATGCACATGAGAAAGACCATACAAAATACATGATTTTGACAATAATGGAAGCATTACTGTTTCTATGACATAGGTTGATGAAAACATAAATTATAACCAGTTTTTTTTTTTTAATATCGATTGACATATGATGATATTATCGATATTGACAAATATTTTGATATTATTATTTAAAATTATGATTATAAGTTGACATGTTTAGAAATGCGAGGGCGAAGAATTCACCAGATCAAGAATGCTATTCCAATAATTCTTGTTATCTTCATAATAATCACTGCCACTGCCGCCACTGCAATTCTCACCACCACCACCACTGTCCGACTCACCACCACCCTCGGAGAAACTCCGGTCACCAGAATTACTAAGCAAAAGGTCAGTAAATGTCTCCACAAAGTTCTCAATACCATTAACACTCTCATTACCACTTGTCCTGAGAGACTCTGGACTCCACGCGCTGCCTTCCACAGCCACGTCATGAATCCCCGACGTGTATGACATCGAATTTCCGAGTCCTTTCCAATCTTCTTCCCCTTCATTCATAAATTGAGAGCCTGAATTACCTACAAACTCAATAAACTCCGCTGGTGCCGAACTCTCTCCGACTCCAGTAGTGGCGATCGGTGGCGCATTTTTCAAGAAGCTCATAGTGGACTTTGGTGACTCTAGATCTTCGCCGCCGCCATTCCAAGCATTTAGTATGTCAAGACACCGTTGTGCCGCCACATTTTTATTCATCGAAATTGAAGCCGAGGTGAATTCCGGCTGAGTCGAACCAAGCTGGGGTTGGAGTTTGAGTGAATTGGAGCGGAGCTTTGATTGTCTGACTAATCTGGCTTCGGCTTCAAGCCGAGCGCTCTCCCATTGGGCCATATGGCTCAAATTAGCGGCGTTCTTGGATGGGCCGTGACTGGATAATAGGGCTTCGTTTTTGGGCTTGTGGGTCAACGGGTCGATGCCCATTTTAGCTAACTTTTTTTTTAAGTGTGTGTTCCAATAGTTTTTGATCTCGTTGTCAGTTCTTTTAGCCAAGTGAGTTGCTATAGCCGACCACCTTACAATCAAAGACAACAAAAGACATTCATGCGAAGACAAGCCTCAATACATCAACAAAAACAACAAAAGTATAAGAAACATTGCATCTACTACAAGGAATTTTCAGTATAATACCGTTACGATTACCGAATTTTTTATTTGTCGATGGTGGAGAAAATGTTCTTATATTCGTATTTATAGATGTGAACATTTTTCTCACATCATTGATTTTGGTTATTAGGAAATTGCACCAGATCAATGTAGCAACATATTTTGTATGATCAAAATTAAGAACAACAATAAAAAAATGATGAGAAAAATATTTAGAATTTGAAATGTACATACAATCATTCGCATGATTAAAATTAAAAATAACAATGTTATATATGTGCCCATAAAATGTAGAATATGAAATTTGAAGTGTTGATTAAATTTGAAATAGGACAATGTTTGGGACCCCATAGAGGAGGACCCCCATTGATGTATTTAAATTTTTTTTTAGGGTTGTGTCTAATAGTGACATGAATGGTTTAGATTATTTTGAGGTTGTAGGGATTATATTTTGTGAGAGTCTCAATCATTATTGTTTGAAATAATGATAGGTACATGAAAGGACGGAATTAGGAGAAAATTATAGGGAGCCATGGCTCCCTATTTTTATGAAAAATATTGTTTGCCATAGAATTTAAAAAAAAATTATATATATATATATATATATATATATCATTTTATACATAAAGGGGTCTCCCCAAAAGGAGGTCTCGAACATTTTCCTAAAAAATATATATGCAATTCTTCTTCCATCTTGAATTTTCTTTTTATTTTATATCAAAAAAATTTATTCATCATATTAGAAATCGCTTTTATGATATTTAAATTTTTTTGTTATATATATATTTTCTGTATATAGTGAAAAAAAAAAAATTTCTTCTTGTCCCGGTAATAAAATTCTGATCAGAAAAGTGTTAGCAATTTGATATGTTTGTGTGTGATCCACGAAAAAAAATATATAAATTTATTCTGACATTTTTCTTGATATTAACTCCGGGTAGCAAAACCCTTTTTTAAATAAAAACCCATGTGATAAATGGCTTTGATGGATCCCAAAAAAAAAAAAATGGACACAAATGAATGTCAGATGTAGCAAGTTATGAAGAATGGCAGACACCCATTTAAAAACTTTGGCGATCATTTGAAATTTGTGTAAAAAATGAGTGAGAACACTAATTAGTGTTGTCATTAATGATGTGACAGTAAGTCTTATTATGAATAATTTGATGTTTTAATCTTAATTTTGTATTTTTTTTTCTTTTTTTATTAAATGTTATGTCATTAATGATTTTTTAGAGTTTCAAAATTAATAATCCCTATCATTGTTGAATTTGTGTAGCAAAGCAAACAATGAACAATAGTTGAGAGCAATAGATCAAAGAGATCACTGTCGACACTCAGAGTAGTCACTAATAGCCTAATAGGAAAAGGAAGCTATGGCTATTTGAGGAATAAGAAAACAAAGTTAATTTTTAATTTTTTTTTAGTATTTTTTTAAAAAAACGTGAAAAATAAAGTAAAGGGATGCCATGATTTAAATAAGTTAATAAATTAATAAATTAATTTTTTTAATTACCAAAATAGACCTATAATTGAATTTAGATAATAAATTCAAATAATTTAAAGAGGCCTAGCTAATTTCCTCCTACATACTCCTCACAATAGCGGAGGGAGTGACGGCCGGGAGTCACGTATCCTTTTGGATTTTGGAATTATTTTTTTTTAAATTTTATAAACATAAAGAAAATATTTTAATGGTTGAATTAGGGTGAAATGTCAATAGCATTTTAAAAATTATAAAAACAATAATGGTTGTTTTAATTAAAAATGAAGAAATTATTATAAATCATATTTTTTATGAATTTTTTTTTGAATATAACGGTGATGTCATTATTATTGACATGTAAGTATAAGTAATCTCACTATAAAGATATAAAATTTATTGGATTGTTAGTTACATTTGACATGTGAGGTTCACTCTCTATGTGTTTATGTACTATTAGTTGATGATATCACATATCAATGATGACGTGGTATTACCATTATATTGAATTTTTAATCAAATTTTGTACGAAAAAATTTATCATTATATAATTTATTTTAAGACATATATATATATATATATATATATTGTATTGTTCATGATACACTAGTTACAAATAGTATTATTTTTTTGATGTTTCTTAAAATTAATCGTAAAAACTTGCGTAAAATATTTTTATAAAAATTTTCGATATTATAATTAATAAATATCCCTAATTTAATTTTCTAATTCTGTCACTACTCACAGTCCTATTAATGTGCTCATATATCATAGAATTCGTAAGAAAATGATCACCCAAAATTTCGGATTGAGGAAAGGATAAAGAACAGTGATTTACAATTTACGAAAACGTTTTGTTTGATTTGATTTTCAAAAGTTATTTTTAATTTTTTTTTAAAAACCAATTTTTAAAAATGATTTTAAAAAACTAAACTAAACACAAATCCAAATGAAATAATCAATTGGACTAATTCCGTTGGGTATTTGCACCTCACTTTCAAGAGTTCAAATCTTGCCTTCGGCAAGACTCTCACGAAAAAATATAAGAATATAAAAATCGATTAAAAAATTGAATATTAATAAAAAGTTGATTTTTGATTTTTTATCAAACTTTTTGATTTTTTTAGAAATGATTTGAGAAGTTGGTAAAAAATTGATTTTTTTATTTTTGATTTAATATTTTTTAAAAGTGTCACATCACTCTAAAATGATCAAAATATCCTTATTTTTTAATTAAAAATACTTTATTAAATTAGCTAATTATAATGTTTTAGAGGGTAGTTTGGTAAATTTTTAAATGACTTTTTTGGGTCTTCCCAAATGGGAGGCTTGGCGTTTTGAGAAGTTGTGGCGTTTTGGAAAGGGATCAAAAAGAATAATACTAAGAATCATGAAAAAAATATCATGAAACGTTTCATAAATATTTGTCATCCCTTAATTGGCGTGTTATATTTACTTGTATGTGTAATCTAACAAAAAAATCTTTCATAATTATTTTCATTATATTTTTTTCATAATATATAATATTACACTTTGAAAAAACATAACTTTTTTATTTGTCGCCAAAACGGCACAATGTCTACTTGTGTAATTGATTTCTAGCCCTCCCTCACTTTCCGGGCCACTGACGTACCCCAAAAAACTGTTAATTGTAACAGCAGTGGGCTTTTTTTTTCAGAAGCAGCTTTTTGCCTAATTTTTAATTTTTTACTCATTTTTAAAAATATCACATTCCATATTTTTTACTTACAAAAAAAATAAAATAAATTTTAAAATTTTAAAAATTAACTTTTTATCAACTTTTCAACTCGTGTATATATATATATATATATATATACTCATAGTAGTAATAAAAAACTGAATTTAAATTGGACCAACCTGTTTCCTAAGAGAGCATGGAGTTGAATGATGGTTTGTTCTTCCTGTAAACTGAACTTCCCTCTCTTAATATCAGGTCTCAGATAATTAGTCCACCTCAGTCTACAACTCTTCCCACATCTCTGAAGCCCTATCAATATATGATCAGTGAGTTAAAAAAAATAAAAATCATTATAAAACTAATGTGGGTGTTTGGATTTTTTTTTTTTTTTTTTAGGTTTTTTTTTGTTGTAGTATATTATTGGAATTTTTTTTTTGTATTTAGAAAGATAGTTGAATTTTTTTGTAGTTGAATATGATGTCTGTGAGAGAAAAAATAAAATGATTATGGAGTTTGATATGATATTTTGTTTGGATTTATTTTTTTGATATTGTAACCAATTTGTCTTTTAGTGAAAAAAAAAATCTAAAAAAATCTAAAAGAAATCAAAAAAAATCTTTCCCAAACACCCTATATATATATATATATATATAATTGGAAGAGAAAATTAGAGATGAACCAGCTTTGGAAGGCAAGGCACGCCAGCTTCCATGGCCATGCTCTTCAATGTAGGCCAAGAGCTTCTGATCTTCTTCAGGTGTCCATGGCCCTTTCTTCAATCCCACCTTGTCACAGCATGGTGTTCGACCCATTTGCTACTCAGATATCAACTATCAAGATTCTTCCTTGTTTTCCCTACTTATAATAACACCAAGAACATGGAGAGAGAGAGAGAGAGAGAGAGAGAGAGTAAATGAGGAGAGAGAGATGGGGCATAGAAGAAGGGTGAGTGGATGATGGACGGGACAAAGGTATTGATTTGATTGATCGGTGTATATATGAAGTGATGTCACGACTCTCAAATAATTTATTAAATCTTCTATATTTGTATGAAATTTATATATATAAATTTGTGTAGATTTTACATTTATGTGTAAAATTTGATAAAAAAATTAATAAATTATTTAAAATTTATAATATTTTGAATATATATATATATATGTACATGTACAAATATTATTTTAATGGCTTTGAAGTCATTGTAGAGAGCGAAAACTGTAAAAATGTGATCCATCAGCCTCGCTACACCCGTCTATCATTTTGCCAACGCTACAGTTCCTTCCCTGATGAAGCGAGCCACTGTTCATCACTACAACAAGCGAATTAGGTGTTACCGGATGTCTGCCCAGAAGTCCGGCTGGTCAACCGGTCAATGGAAAATTTATTTGAGATTTTATTTATTTAAAAATTGTTATATTATATATTATCTTTATTTTGTTGCCATGATTGATTCTTGGGAAAATAAGGAGAAGTTACTTGGTGTTCACTAGGAGCATTGCGATGGGTGGACCGAGTGTAGTCCATAATTTGACAATAATGATAGAAAGCGTTAATTTAAAAAATTTAGAGAGAGTTTGATAATGTGATAAAGGAAAAAAAAACAAAATAAAAATATAAACACATATATCACATTACATGTAAATCTCATTCTTTATCATATTATTAGAACTCTTTTTAGAGTTTCAAAATTAGAATTTTTAATCTTTATTCATAATTTGGTGTTGGGTAATGGGAATGAGAAAAGTTAGGGATGGGAATAGTAAGGCCTCGTTTGAAGAGTAGTATTTTAGTTAAAAAGTTAAAAAAATTACTATAATTATTATTTTTTATTTTTTACATATCTTTTTATAAAAAATTAAAAAATTATTAAAATGACATGTTCCCAAACGAGACCTAAGACATGATATTTGATGATTGATGAGGAGTCCAGATTTTCTCCTTAGATCTCTTTACTTGGCTCCTTATTTGGTGGGCCATTGGGCTCAATTTCGATGATCCGAACCGTTCACATTTTAGGATATGTCGAGTATATTATACTTGTAAAAACATCAAGTCGATCAGATATCGGAAATCACGTGTTTGAATCATCGAACTAAAAATCGTTTATTGAAAAAAATTTAATAGACAATTTTATTTTTTAATAAAATTTTTAGTTTGATGATCCAAACAAATGGTTTTCGATATCTGATCAATTTGATTTTTTACAAATATGATACACTCGACAAATTTTAAAATGTGAACGGTTCGTATTATCTAAATTTAGCACAAAAGTAGTCCCAATGGCCCACCAAGTAAAGAGCCACGTAGAGAGATCCAAAAAAAGGATCTTGCTCATTGATGAGAGCATTGGCATTGTCACATAGTGTCTCAAAAATTGCCTAATAATTTTTTGTAAGTTAGATTCAACTTTCAATTTTTAATTTTTAATTTTTATAAAAAAATATTTTATGATTTTGATATAATTACATAAATTCTAATGTTAATAAGACTAAAATGATAGGAACTAAAATAGATTGTGTAGACAGAAGAATAAATAAAATAAATTATATATTTCAACATAAAAAAAATAATATTATCAATTTTATTTTTCATTTGTGTTAGTAAATAATTACTCATGAAAAAGAGCTAATAGTTATCTGAATTAAAATTTGAGAACTTAATATAATTATGTCAAATTTGTGATATTCAATGTGTTTTCTTAAAATATCAATAAATGTTAGTTTAATTTGCCATTGATTTCTTTGCTTACAATTTAGGCCCCAAAAAAATCTTATTCACTGTGTTTGGTTTCAATTTTTTGGATTCAATTTTCAGAAAATTGAGTTTTTTATTTTTCATATCTTTTTGTTTTTAGTGAATATTTTTAAAATTTTAAATAATTTTTTTTTTAGATGTACCTTACTTAGATGTATCTAAGAAGTAAAATATTTGTAAAAAAATATTTTAAAAAATTAATAAAATTATAAAAATACGAAAAATATATTGAATTCTCGTATTTTTTTACATATATTTTTTGTATTTAGTGAATTTTCTTATGAGTGTCTAAAAATTAAAAAAAAAAATTGTTTAGAATATTAAAAAAAATGCAAAAAATAAAAAAATTTAATTTTTTAAATAGTGAATCTTAAAAATCCAAACAAAACAAACTCATTTGTTTTAGAAATAATGAAGATTAATAGAGTATAAGATATATGTCGTCGTTTGGCTTGATTTTTTTTTTTGTTGACTTTTTTAAATTAAGACTCCTTTAGCTTGAGATTAAAAAGTTCGTTTGATTTGATTTTTTGACTTTTGTAAGAAAAAAAAGTGAAATGATTATAATTTGAATGTTACATTGTCTTATTGACTTATTTAAGGGTTGTTTGGGGTGTTTTAAATAAGTGCACTTCTTATTTTTTTGACTAAAAAGTTGGAAAAAAAAGATGGATATTTGGGTTAACTTTTTGACTTTTTACAAAAAAATGTATATTAAAAAATTGTATAAATAAGTGTGTAGGAAAAGTTAGTGGAGTAGCTGTACAGATTGGGCAGTGTAGTGGCTGGTTAGGAGATGGGAAATGATTCCCTCCTTTTAAGGCTTAAATTGGACGGTGTTGTTCGGCCCGTGGGGGCCCACCACAAGTCCCGTTTTGCTAATCAGAATCGTTCAATGTGTAGAACTTGTCGAGTACTATATGTTTGTAAAAAATCACGTTGATTAGATATCGATAGCTATCTGATCGTACTAATTTTTTTTGTCAATTGTTAATTATAACACTATCCATTTTTTATACAAAACTGATTTGATCATGTAGTTAGCGATATCCGATCAACGTTATTTTTTACAGATATATAGTGCTCGACGAGTTCTATATAGTAATAACTTTTTAACTTTTTGAGTAACTTTTTAATTTTTTGTCTTTTTCAAGACATGCTAAACCAGCCCTTAGTTTATTTTGTCTTTTGTGCTTTTTTTAGCTCAACTAAGTTGGCCAAATGAAGGCTATGTCTTCGTGTTCTAATAAATTCTCAATTATTAAATTATGTAATAAATCTCAAAACAAATGCATCACAATGTACAATGCAATACTTAAGAGAAGTAATATATATCAATCTTATATTTTCTAATTTTTTTTTAAATAATTATTTCTAAATCAGGAACCAAAAAAAAAATGGTATTTGAGAGCGTAATTTGTGTAGACAAGTTGGGTCGCGTTAAGTAGAATCATTTTTGGATGTTGGGCCGCACAGTGGGTCAAGATAAGAGCTTAGATAGCTCGATCCTAGACTGAACGGTTGCTAGGCCGGTCAATAGGGTTGGATCCAGCTATGTACAATCGGGGAACAGACTGGAATGGAATCCTGGTTAAATGAGAAAGGTCGATCTGAGGATAGCTCGGTGGGGTAGCTCACGACTGATCGGGATTACTCAGCTCGGTCAAAGGGATAGTAGAACGAGGTAGCTTGGTTAGGCTTGGTTAGCCGAGTAGGGTGTTTGGCCATTTCACTTGGCTTGTAGTGAGGAGGGTGTTCCAGGAATAAGCACTATCCTTTAAGAATATGATTCTTAGTAGGACTCTGCTAGAACGAGTCAGAGTCCTACTCAGATTGTGCTACGCAGAATTTATAAAAGCTCATGATAAACTTATTTCTAGGTATTGCAATTCGTACTCTCGAATATACAGAGTTTTTTTTTCTATTGTCTACTTGCTGACTTAGGCATCAGAGGGGTTTCCGGCACACATCCGCCGGTAGGCCCACGTTTGTATTTTCAGTTGATTGGAGGACGACGTTTAAAAGAGTACAAACTTAATCAACAGGATTATATAAGAAGAATTATTTCGTGCTCGTACAGTATTAGTCACCTGAATTTATTTTGTGTAATAAATGTCGTATGATGTAACCACTATTTCATTACAATTATGTAATGAAGATGATCAAAATTTGAAATGAATATAGTCAATTGATAGAAGGTTAATCACAAATATACAAATTATTACATCAAATAAAACAATTATTGTAAAAAAAAAGGAGAAAAAAAATAATCTAACACTTTATTAAAATGAAAAATGTTATACACTGTATAATTTTTGTCACCATTTTGTGTTACCGTTTATATAAATATCATGACTAATTCTTCGTTCGAAGATAATTTTCAAGTTAGTAATGAAAGTAAATAATAATAAGTGATAATCTATCACCCACTCGCCCCATTTTGCAACATGTTAATATAGTCAAAAAAATCATACAAAAAGGTCAAGATTTTTTTATTTATTTTTATTCTGTTTATTTTTTTACACGTTTTTTATGTAGGAAAAAAAAAAAAAAAAAATTTTTTATTAGGAAAAAAAAAAAAAAAAACCAGAAACAAAAATTCACTAAATAAACCACTTCCCCTACAAATCCTCAGACTTCTTGTTTGCATAAAAAGAGCACAAATCTGTAAATGCAGAAGCCCAAGGTTTTTAAAGACAACCACAGAAAAAGAAAAAAGAAAAAAAGGAAGATCTATTACTACCCCTGTCATTACCACCATCACCATCGATTGCTGATTATGCTTCACTCCAATGTTTGCAATCTGATACATTTTCCGGAGATAGTAATCAGAGCACATAACTCATATCTGACAGATCACTGTCCTGTGTGCTGCCTAAACAACCTACATCGAAGCATAGTCCACAATTGATAATTCAACTTGAATTGAATTGAAGCAGAGCCACAACCCAGAGAGCATTCAATTGGGTTGACAATTCTTGGCTGGCTTAAGCCCCCCCCCGCCCCCCCCCCACCTCGCCCCCCTAAGCCTCTGCCATGAGATCCATCAGTCCATTCTCTCTGTCGGCGCGGCTTCATTGACCAGTGGTTTTTCCAATGTTTCATTCAACCCAACTAATACTTGTTTTCTTACTTTCTAATGAGATACATGAGTTCTGATGATCACTTGAGTTATTAACATTATTATTGATTCTCATAATTGAATCCTTAACTTGTTAGTTGAGTTTGATTCTTAACCTCTCTTTGTTAATATATAGTTCATAATTAGAACCAACCATATTGTAATTGACTATTATAGTCACTAGTGGATGGTTTTTCACATTGGTCCCTTGTTAGTCTCATAATAGTATTATACTGATATGGTCATTTACTGATATGTTGACATGGTCAAGCAAGCAGGGATTTTTGTTAATTGAATAATTATTTAGTAGCCTCATAATGGTATTATACTGATATGTTAACAGGGTCAAGCAAGCAGGGATGGTTGTGATTGTGTTAATGTAAAATGTAAATTGTAAAATGTAAACTACCATTGAAATGCCCTGAAGGCTACAACTTTCCGAGACTGCAATTAAATACATCAAAATGGATTTAAATCCAATACAAATAAAGCCCTAAGCTTGTACAAAATAATTACAACAAGTAAGCAAAATGAAGCTCTAGCTCCAATCCTCCCAAGCTACTGCCTTGGTGGAGGCATCTCACCAACACCTGAAAATGATTTTTCCATATAGGGTGAGCAAAAACCCAATAGCAATAATCTAACATGTTAAAATTTACCATCACCTACCACCAATTTACCATTACCTACCACCACCTACTCCTCACCTACTCCTCACCTACTACACTCACCCTCTCCTATATAATGAGCCACTCACCATTTGTAAATAAATAACAACATATATCAATCAATAATACAAGCATTTCTCTTTATACATTAAATTTCTACATGGTATCAGAGCAGATTTAGAACCTAATATTTTTGCTTCACCGGCGGGCGGCAACTTCGCCTTTGCTTCTGGTGGGGCCGCCACAGCCGCCTCTCCTCCGCCATCTTTCTTCTCCGTCGCTGCCGCCTCTCCGCCCTTGCCGGTGTCCTTGGCTCCGCCATCGCCCGCCTTCTTCTCTTCCTTGGGCTTCTCTTCCTCCACTTTCTTCTCTGCTTCTTGCTTCACTATCAAAGCTTGCTTCCCTGTTCTCTTGTACACATACTCCACCAGCTTTGGTGGGTCGAGCACACCTTTCACTGTCACTTGTGAGCTCTTTAGATCTGGTTCCACACTTTCAACCCCGTCCATTCTGAGTATGCGTCTTTTGATTTCTTGAGAACAAGCCTCGCAATGCATGTAAATATTGAGAACCACTGTGATGACCTGAGGCTCTTGTTTTTTGTCTAGAGGTTTGGCAACTTCTTTCTCATCGGCTTTTTTGGCATCTTCTGGAGCCGGAGGTTTTGGGATAGGAGAGAGAAGCTCAACCTGGCGGTGGCTCTTCATCTGTACCCTCTCTAGAACCTTCACTGGATCTGCCTTTGCTCCCTTCACCACAACCTTGTGGGTCTTGCAATCTGTCTCAACTTCTTCAACTCCTTCGAAGTTTTTGAGGCATCGGCGGACCTTTCTGGCGCAGCCTTCGCAATGCATGTAAACACTCAACACAATCTCTTGAGGCGGTGGTGGTGGTGGATCCTTGGGTTCCTCAGCCTTCTTGTCTTCTTTCTTTTCCTCTGCCTTTTTGGGTTCCTCTGGTTGCTTTTCCTCCACTTTCTTTTTAATATATGTTTATTATACTATATTCCCTAAAGCTCCCCCTATGTCCCCTTTTCCACAAATTCATACCTTTTTTTTCTTTTTCGTCTGAAGCACCTCTATCTCTCTCCACTCAAGGCCACCCTCATAAAATAAAATACCAACATATCAACACACTGCAGCAGCCGAGGGACAAGGTTCACACACACACACACACACAACACCCACGTTCTTTTCCACTTTTCTTTTATTTTAATATATCTATATTTTTCTTATAATATATTTCTCCTATCCCTACTTTTATTTTATTTTATTTTATTTTACTTTTTCCATTATCTTATTATTATTTTTTATATTCCACCTAAAAAAAAAAAACAAAAAAAACAAAATCACACCGATATTTTTCATATGCCCATCCACAAATATTTTTATCTATTTTCTTTATCCATTGTTTTATTTTATTTTATTTTTATTCTTAAACAAAACAACACCACCACATAACACCAACAACATTCCACACCCTTGTCATTTCTTCATGACGGAGATCAACCCCGATCACAATTTTACACCAAAAAAAAAAAAAAAAAAAAAAACATTCTACAACGGTCCGACATGACCCCGTAAACTGTCTTCTACAACGGTCCGACATGACCCCGTAAACTGTCTTCTACAACGGTCCGACATGACCCCGTAAACTGTCTTCTACAACGGTCCGACATGACCCCGTAAACTGTCTTCTACAACGGTCCGACATGACCCCGTAAACTGTCTTCTACAACGGTCCGACATGACCCCGTAAACTGTCTTCTACAACGGTCCGACATGACCCCGTAAACTGTCTTCTACAACGGTCCGACATGACCCCGTAAACTGTCTTCTACAACGGTCCGACATGACCCCGTAAACTGTCTTCTACAACGGTCCGACATGACCCCGTAAACTGTCTTCTACAACGGTCCGACATGACCCCGTAAACTGTCTTCTACAACGGTCCGACATGACCCCGTAAACTGTCTTCTACAACGGTCCGACATGACCCCGTAAACTGTCTTCTACAACGGTCCGACATGACCCCGTAAACTGTCTTCTACAACGGTCCGACATGACCCCGTAAACTGTCTTCTACAACGGTCCGACATGACCCCGTAAACTGTCTTCTACAACGGTCCGACATGACCCCGTAAACTGTCTTCTACAACGGTCCGACATGACCCCGTAAACTGTCTTCTACAACGGTCCGACATGACCCCGTAAACTGTCTTCTACAACGGTCCGACATGACCCCGTAAACTGTCTTCTACAACGGTCCGACATGACCCCGTAAACTGTCTTCTACAACGGTCCGACATGACCCCGTAAACTGTCTTCTACAACGGTCCGACATGACCCCGTAAACTGTCTTCTACAACGGTCCGACATGACCCCGTAAACTGTCTTCTACAACGGTCCGACATGACCCCGTAAACTGTCTTCTACAACGGTCCGACATGACCCCGTAAACTGTCTTCTACAACGGTCCGACATGACCCCGTAAACTGTCTTCTACAACGGTCCGACATGACCCCGTAAACTGTCTTCTACAACGGTCCGACATGACCCCGTAAACTGTCTTCTACAACGGTCCGACATGACCCCGTAAACTGTCTTCTACAACGGTCCGACATGACCCCGTAAACTGTCTTCTACAACGGTCCGACATGACCCCGTAAACTGTCTTCTACAACGGTCCGACATGACCCCGTAAACTGTCTTCTACAACGGTCCGACATGACCCCGTAAACTGTCTTCTACAACGGTCCGACATGACCCCGTAAACTGTCTTCTACAACGGTCCGACATGACCCCGTAAACTGTCTTCTACAACGGTCCGACATGACCCCGTAAACTGTCTTCTACAACGGTCCGACATGACCCCGTAAACTGTCTTCTACAACGGTCCGACATGACCCCGTAAACTGTCTTCTACAACGGTCCGACATGACCCCGTAAACTGTCTTCTACAACGGTCCGACATGACCCCGTAAACTGTCTTCTACAACGGTCCGACATGACCCCGTAAACTGTCTTCTACAACGGTCCGACATGACCCCGTAAACTGTCTTCTACAACGGTCCGACATGACCCCGTAAACTGTCTTCTACAACGGTCCGACATGACCCCGTAAACTGTCTTCTACAACGGTCCGACATGACCCCGTAAACTGTCTTCTACAACGGTCCGACATGACCCCGTAAACTGTCTTCTACAACGGTCCGACATGACCCCGTAAACTGTCTTCTACAACGGTCCGACATGACCCCGTAAACTGTCTTCTACAACGGTCCGACATGACCCCGTAAACTGTCTTCTACAACGGTCCGACATGACCCCGTAAACTGTCTTCTACAACGGTTCGACATGACCCCATAAACTGTCCCGACATTGATTCCGGTCAGCTGCTACAACGGTCCGACATGACCCCATAAACTGTCTGCTACAACGGTTCGACACGACCATACAGTGTCTCCTATCCCATTTTTAATTGTCAGCTTATTTTTCTGTTTTGTTACTCTCTCCAAACTCAAGTTGGCTAGTACCTATCCTCCTTGAGTTTGAGGGGGGCTGTTAATGTAAAATGTAAATTGTAAAATGTAAACTACCACCCACCTACCACCTCCACTACCACCCACTCCACCTACCACCTCCACTACCACCTACACCTACTACCACCCTCTCTTCTATATATAGGAATTGTAAACATTGTAAATACACACCAATCAATACATATCAATCAATAATATACATCAATTTATTTTACAGATATTATCTCCCACTCAATTTGGGTTAAATCTATACCATCCACATTTGTAACTGCTGCTCATATTAATTAAAAGATACCATATCAACGTGTTGAACTAGTATTGTGAATTATAACCATCCTATACAGGTGGGCAATGATCGAGCTAGACCGAATTAATCATTTTAATTTGAGGTTGGGCATACTCTTACCCATTATGATTTTTTTTTTTTTTTAAAAAAAAAAAATCTGGAGTCATAGAGGGGTTAAATGAATTTGATTATTTTAATATAAGTATTTGAATTGGGTAACCAATTAGGAATAAATTTATACATTTTATTTCTAAATTTAAGAAGAAACGTGTGTATATATCAATTTTTGATCAGTTTTTTCTTTTCTGCTTTTTTCCCTAGTTTATTGTGCATCTAATTAATTTAAAAATTAACGTTAACATTTTTTAAATGAACATGCGATGCCAGACTGAATTAGAATTTTTCATACCAAGCTTAACTTTAAAAAAAGAAAAGAAAAGGACATCACAATTTTTGCCCAACCTATTTCTATGAATCGAAATATGTTTTTAAAGTCCTAAAAAAGTAGACTAGACTAAATAGGTCGAATGAGCATCCAGATTGGCAGCCAATCCTATCAATTGGGCTAATGGGCTTGTTTGATGCGGTCATTCTGACCAGGTCTTTTAAGAAGTGAATTATAATTTATTTTTTAGGTTATAAATCCCTTTTTTCTCTCATAATAAATTGATTTTAATCAATTTTTGACTAAAAAATTGATTATTACCATCTTCTCAAAATAGTTCTAAATAAAAATTGATAGTAGTTAGAAAGCACAAATCAACCTAAGGGTATTTGGTAATTTTATAATGGTTTGGGAGTTAAGACCCAAAGTTTCAAGTTCAAAACTCTTTGGGCAATTTTTTGGGCATAGTGTAGTTGGTTAAGAAGTTAGTTTCAAATTGTTGCTAGCACAATACTTTAGTGTGGGCCTAATACTCTCCTGCAGTCTTGACTTAAACAAAACTTGTCTGGGGTAATTAGGACAAATTTCCAAGTTATAAAATAGACAATAGGACACCTTGGTAATTTCTACAAGGGGCGTTGCCCTGGACCTACGGAAGAGTGGGAGGATTTTCCTGTAAAATAAATAATAAAAAAAAAACATTCCTTAATTTATAGATTCAAAAAAAGGTACTTTTTCATAAATCCATTTTTACTTACTCATGTTTTATTTATTTCACATTATTTTCTTATATTTTAATAAGTCTTATGGGTAACATAGTTACCAAAATACTCTTAATAATATTCAAATTTACAGTATGAATGTTCCGTGATGTGAATGTTCACACCGTCAGTGTGAATGTTCACACCATCAGTGTAAATGTTAACATGTCAATGTGAATTCAATATTCATATTGTAAAATATGAATGTTCACATCACCAAATTGCTAACCGTTCAAAAAATATTTGTAAAGGTAGAAATGTCCATAAAATACTTTAAATATGAGAATTAGGATGACTTATTGAAATACAAGAATATCTTATGAACTAATTGGGATACAAACACTTAAAAAGGATTTTCTAATAAATCTCCCATTAAAAAATATATTTCAACTTAATTATGGGTTGTTTGAGATGATCTAAATAAGTGTACTTTTTTATTTTTTTATGAAATATAAGTTGAGTTTGAAGTGATGTTGTAGAAATGTGATGTGACTTAAATAAAATGATATGACTTAAATATGATAGTGACTTTTTGACTTTTAAAACTTTTTTAAGGAATACCGAACTTAGCCTAAATTATTTATGTCTCATAATCTATAAACATACCGGAAAGAATATGGTACACATCTCTCGAAGAATGTGTATCATATATACTTTACAACTAAAAAAAAAAAAAGACTTAACTCCTTATTTTTTGTGTCATAATTAAAAATAAATAAAAATCATAGTTAAACATCACATGACACATAACCAAAGATTTTCACGAGTCATAACTAAAATATTATCATAACTAAAGAAGAAAATTAATCATAACTAAATAATAAAATAACATAATTAGAGGTGTATATGATACATCTCTTTCAAGGGATGTGTATAGTAAAATTTCCCTAAACATAAACTAAACCAAATAATCTTACACAAACAAAAATAGAGGTGACAAATCCAACTCAAACCCATAAATTCACGTTGAGAAATATTAATATCATCACATGACACATAACCAAAGATTTTCA